AATCTTTTTGCTTGAAAGTGACGCAACATTCCTCGTTGTAGCAGTTTTACTTTAGGGCTAGTTGAAATCCAATTACTTACTTTTTCGGGAGATGTGCTCCACTGCATGCATTTCGGCTATCGGCCGCTGCAGAAATATTATCGTTAGCACATATAGTGCAAGACTTCGAGAATACCCGTAATCAGGTTTTTTTCGCTCTCCTGCCAAACCTGAGTGCCATACGATAGGCGGTTTTGCAACTGCTCGATGGGCGGATTTGCAAAGGCATCGACGATTTATGTAGGCCTTTTACCTGCTAACAACATCAGACGTGAAGTAAGAGAAACTTTCCTGTTTTATTTGTGCAGCTCTAGAAATTTTGCATGACGTATTCAGCCTAAGTGCAAACGGGTCCTTTACGTTCGATACTTCCACAGCATTCGTGTATTCAATCGCCTTACTTTCTCCATGATCTTACTGTGAATAGTTCTCTAGCTATGCTTTTCGATTGCCTACGAATCTAAAAATCTCCTCTCGGCAAGTGTCATCCTTTCCTTGACTACCGGCTGGCATAGAAGGTTTTTGTGTGGAAACAATGGAAGAGGGTAGAATTTTCAACAGCTACATATCCATTCGTCCTCCAAAACGTATGCACTTGCGTTTTCATAATAATTTTTGATTTTTAAAGCAGTTAAAGTGTTCTTTATATTTTATGAATTTGGGTGTTGGTCTTTTAGACGCTACATATATAAAAATTATGTTTTGGAACCTCTCTTTTATCCCATCATCATCTGTCTGTGCTACATATGTGTGATATAACGCATTTCCCCCCAAAGCAGCTATATAACATTTTCACTTATCATACAGCCATTAAGCGGCGTTTAACAAGTGATTATCCTTTATGTGTTTATGTCCACGCCGTAAGATGTAAGCAGCTTCAAACGAGCGCGCAAGTTTACACTTTTACATGTATGTATTTATGTACGTTTACGTGCGTGCTTGTGTTTCTTCTTTCCCTGTTTGTTGTCACTTGTATGCTGTCTGCAGTTTGCCGTCAGCGAGGCACACATCTTCGCCATGAAACAAGAGGCACGGACACATGCAACATGCTGCACGTTATCTGCAGTACTTTAGCCATTTTAGCTAAGCTTAAATATTAACAAAAAGTGGCGAGTGACTAACGTTGCAAACACATATTCATATACATATGTATGTATGTATTTATTTATGACCTCTGGGATGCTGGGAGAAAATCTTATCAGCCGACTCAAAGTTTATGCATCGCACATACTCATACAAACATGTGTATGTATGCACGTACTTTGTATGAGTTTCACTGCAGTACATACTTAGCTAGCGTAGTATGTTTGTTTTTGCTATTATTATCAATATTTATGCTTTAACGCTTTCGCGTGTTACAACATCAACATTAACGACAGCCACAGCGGCAGCGTAAATGCTTGCGCGTTTTCTGTAAAACAAATGTTGGCTGTGGAAAACTTCTAGCCACCAGTCAACAGCGCCGCCGCCAACTTCACTGTTTACTTAAACAATTTTCCAGTATCCTCTCGCCTGCATTTAGTACACTGTGCCGTGTTTGTTTTCCAACAACAACCTTCTCTAGCTGCCTTTCACCTCTCTAGCTCGTTGGTCTGTCTGCCATATATTATTTGTTTACATCTTGTGGATTTTCTATATAAAATTATTCAATTACGTTGGCAACCAAGTATATCTTTTTATTGCTTTATAAGTTGCTTCTCTGCGTGGGGGTTAGACGGATGAATCACTTTGACGTTGGTTGGCTGCTTTATTTATGACTGCAAATACGTTGTTTTTCTTTTTGAGTTTTTTCCTTCTCTAACAAAAACAATTGCTCGAGCTGTGTAGAGGTGCGCTACGAAGCGACGCGACAGGAAATGAGGAAATCTTTATTCTATAGCAGCTATTAATTGCGTCCTCTAGAGCAGCCAGTGCCCCGCTGTCTATTCGACAGCTCCACTAAATAGCTGTAGTGTGTTTGTGTTAGTGCAATTTAATTTTTTGGCTTTGGAGTTCTAGTTATTTTATGTGTGCATGTATGTATGCACATTAGACTGTACCACCTTACAAGAAAAAAAACCTTGGCTGTACACCCCTGAATCTAAAGTATTTTGGCAAGGCAATTTGGGGGAAAAAATTTATTTTTGCTTGCTCGAACCTCTAGGTAACCTTTTTATAGTTTCCGGTGAAACCTACATTCGGTAATAAAATTGTGTTTTTTTTTTAATTGCTTTACTGGAATAATCGTAATCCTTCATTGGCCAAAGTAAAACGATTTTTGGTAAGCTTTTGTTTACTGGCATTGGGGTGTTAGGAACTGAGATCTGGCGGGCAAATACTAGAACGGCGTACTTGAGGTGAATGAACTTCGGAATAAAAAGTTGTGTCCCTAAAAGCAAGAACCTGGACATATCTTACTTTAACATCCGACTATAAATGTCGAAGATATGACAAAAATGTAAAAAAGCAACGTCCACGTGCGGCACAAAAAAATTATTATTTTTTTCGCAATTGCTGTACAAAAATACTTTAGACTCAGCGGTTTACAACGAACTTTTTTTCTGATACGGTCTAATGTGGGGTTTTTGAAGGGCGCGTGAAAAGCGCTCAACTCACTGGCAAACCCGACTTCTTGCGATTCTATCTGTATGTGCGTATCTACATATGTATGTAGCTTTATTAAAGATTTCTTAATTAGACTCACATCTAGACGCTTATCGGTTTCTATAGCTTTTGTTGTATATATGTACATACATACTCACATACTCCCATCTATGCCTTAGTGTGTTTTTTTTTATAAGTAACCCCTCACATGTTATGTCAGAGAGTCTTTTGGTTCCTTTCACCTGTTAGCGCGTTGAGGTGTTAATAATGTCTGCAGATACGCACCTACATACGAACATTCATTCCTTAACCTACCCCAACACTTAGCACCCTCGCAAGTTTTCGTTTTCTTACTATTCAAAGCTACATAGCTTCCCGGCAAGTTTAATGAACTTCTAAGTGCCACCAGTGATGAGTGTTTTCTGCAGCCGACATTTAATTCAAATTATCTTTTTTTTTTAATATTCATATAATGTTACAAAATATAATAGTGTATCCATGTATGTATGTATGTATGCGTAAATAGATAAGTATGTACATATATGCATACACATAAAGTAAATATGAGCAAATTAAATTTAATTGAATGAAACTAAACTTTTATTGTACGAAACGTTTGAATAAAACCTGCTACATAAATTTTTGTAAAGTGTTTTACTTGACTTAAATTTCTGTTGAATATTCTCTTAACTATCATGCTCGTTTTTTCTTTATTGTATACTTTTTTTATTTTAAATAGTTATTTTTATAAATCAACAACTAAACTACTTGCAGTCAAGGGTAGATTACCGGAACCCTATACTATCTGAGTGATCTACCTGAAGTTACCCTGATCTAATAAGTAAATGGATTCTTGAGGGTTTCGATTTCGTCGCTGATTACAAACATGAAATGCTTTTAAGTAGCTTTTTCTCTACAAAAATTGCCAAAATGGGTGAGGTGGATGGGGAGAGAGACCTTTACCACGGGTTGACAAAAGCTGGATGAAAGCGTTGGTTGGAGTCTTCTTCCATGCGCTCTCCATCCACAGCAGGCTTACGCTTCCATACTGCTTTAGCGATTTTCAGGAGAAAGTGCTTATGTCATTTGTACCAGGCCACAGTGACCTTGCGGGACTGCGAGTTGGCGAGAAGAGTACCCTTGAAATTATATCATCAGGTAGGAAATAGGTGGGAGCCCCGCTGACCTCCTGCGGCTAACTCCAGGACTGACGTACGCCATGCCAACTCAGCGAATGTAGGTCGAAAGCTAGGACATTTGCAATTGCAAGGTGCTTCTTGCCCAGGGCGATGCCACAACTTTTGCTTTTGCTGGGGTTATGCCAAGTCAGAAGTATTTCGGCCTGTCTAAAAATTATGACTGATCCTTGTTACTGCGGCAGTTGCTATATTGAGCAATAAGGTCGCCAGCTTAGCTTAGTTGTTTCCCGACTATTCTTAACCGTAAAAGAAGCTATTCCTTACTTCAGAAATGGATCTGTTTACTCTAAAAACGAAACTGCTATCAGAGCACTATAGCGGAATACCACCTCCCCACAGGTGGTTACGGAATGCAGAAATTCCTGTATGCGTTAACCGATATGATTTCTTAATTTTGGGATGGGTTTCCGGGCCTGCAATAGAAGGGGCATATTGAGGGGGTGTACGACGATCTATTCTAAAAGCCAGGGCAATGTAGAATAACAATATGGGCACCAAATGAGAAAGAAAATTCTGTAGAATTTAAAAACAATAAAGTTTTTTGGTTTACAAGGACGAATAGTTATTGAAAATGAGCTTTTAATAAAATCTATGTTTTTAAGTTAATAAAGTTTGCAGGACGAAATTCCATGATCAGCTCAAACAATAATTAAAAAAAATATATATTGCAAATTTTCAAGAATATTTAAGGACGAAATTTTTAAAGGGCATTTTCCATACTGATTCGTCCTTATGCACCACAAAATGTGTTCTGTTTTAATTCTACAGATTTTTTTCTTTTATATGATACCCATATTTTTATCCTACATTGCACTGAATTTTTTAAATACTTTTTTGAAATAATCATATTTTTATAAGTTTCAAAATCCTTATAGTTTCGCGAATATATTAATTTTTTTTGTGTGTAAAATTTACTGTAGCACGGTGTAATTATTTTCACTGTATAAGGGGAGAGGGGAGTTTGAGCCCCAACATGTTATCCACTAAATTGCTTTTGTCAATAAAAAGTGGTCCTAAGTAGATTAGTAGCAGCAAACGAAAATTAGTAAAATTTTAGGCAAGGTTAGGAAACCCCACATTCAGCTAATCTAGGGAAAGTACATAGATTACCCAAACAAACAATAATAACAAATCAAACAACACCAACAAAAAAGTGATAAAAAGCGAACACTTACTTACCCCTCCCACCTTCAGTGCGATAAGGTGCATTGGAATCGTGTGGATCGGGTTCAGGTGCAGTATTCTGTGTATCCAACATATTCGCTTTACGAGCAGGAATTTCTGTTATTGAATACAACGAAGCGAATAAGAATAAATATATAAACATATGTATATATTAGTCAAGCGTAATGGCTTACTGATGCATGGCGCAATGTGTGAACGACTCTGTTGATAGCCACGCGCGCAGCGATTGCAGGTGAGACCGGTCACACCATCCTTGCAGGGACATTGGCCAGAGGTGTTGTTGCAAGTTTTGCCAGAAGAACCGATCGGATGGCATTCGCAGGCTGCAATGAAAGCGAAAGAAGAAATGTGAAAACAATTGAAATCGACATTTTTTTTAAATAAAAATTTAAGTGACGAAAATTTAATACAAACTGACGTGGAAGAATAAAGAAGCTTATTAAATGGATTTACATACACCGAGAAAAAAATCAACCAAAAATTGGTTAATATTAGCAAATTCAAACTTGAAAAGGAATCAAAGTGATTTTTGTTTAATACTAACAATGCCATGGTTGATATTTTCAATAATGATTAGTTATTTTAACTACACTTTTGTTTGCTCTAAACAAATTTTTGGTTGCCAATTTTTTCGTTTGAATACGCTTATGTTCTGCACTTCACAGATGCTTTTGCATAATTCGGTGACACGAAAAAAAAATTTTATTATCATTTTAACACTTTGCCTCTCTTTCATATTTAAGAAAAAGAAACCACAAAAAAAAAATTCATGTCGCCTGTGATGACATTCGAACCCGAACCTGCTGGAGGCCGACAAGCAGGCATCTCTGCACTTTAAGCTACAGCCAGACATATCTACAAATGTCTTTTCAAATGTGTAAACAATAACTTGATTAAGAAACCATTGTGCTTTTGGCTCAGTGTACATATGCAAATAGAAGCATTTCATTGCTTGACTTTATGCGTTACTTCACACAAAATAACGGCAATCTTAATGTGTATCATCTAAAAGATGCTGCTCCCAAGAATGCCAAATACAAAGGGTTGCAGTTTTAATAACACAGTTTAAATATTTTTTATGCCTTGAAATGCAATCAGTTGCAATTAGCTTTGAAGCGACTCGTAGCTTCTACGCCGTTTACGCCATTTGGCTGGCTCTTTAATGGCGCACACTGGGGCAGTTGCGCTCAAAAACGGCCAAAAGTTATAAACAAATTTCATTTCAGGTTGCACTCACTATTTTACATACTTAATAAGAATACTAAGATGTGTTGTTTAACAGTATTTAAGTGAATCATAAAAACACAGTACGCTTTTACAGTGAAGTAAACTTACGTCTTATGCAGACTAAGTTATTTACTGTTAGTGATTTTAGGTAATACTTGTTTCTAAATTATATACATATATGCATAAAAAGTTTTAGGTAGCCAATACAAATTTAGCTATATAGTAAATAATACTAAATTTAATAAATAATAAATCTTTCGGCATATTTGTAATCAAAATGAAGTCAGCACTAAAGCTAGTTCCAGCTTCTTGACATACTTTTCGATAGAATTTTTGTCGAAAAAGCTGCAACTAACTTCGTCTATGAATATTGCCCATTTTGTTTAGGTTTCAAGCACGTCCAAACTTGTTATCTAAAAATAATATTTGTATAGCTTCATACAACAAATTTTTTTTCTGCTACCTTTTTGTAGTTTACAATGCAGTACCAGGTTGACCGAGCCTTGCTGGGAGTGCATATATTAAGATTTGAATAGCTTTAAAAAATATTTTGGATTTGAAAAAAATTGGATTTCAATATCTATTAAGTCAATTTCTTACTCGAAAATTTAGGTGGTAACCCTATTCCGAAATACACTGGAATGAATGGTACATATCTTGAGCGTTTATGTACTGTGTATATACATGCATAAAAAATTCTGATTGAAATAAATAAAATAAAAATTCGTATTACATAGAAGCGTGGCAACCCTGATGGAAAATATTTTCTTGCCAAAGTTCGCAACAATACCTTTCATTTGATATCCATTTTGCGATGTTTTAGATAAATTGTGTAGAATCGAAAATAAGTGGCAACCTTACACAATTATCCTAAGCGATAACATTTTGTATATAGGGAAAGCATTGTTTAAGAACCTTCTCCCATGAATAGTAAAGTAATATTTTACCTGTTTTCTAAAAAAAAATTTAATAAATATGCGAATAAAAATAGGTGGCAACCCTATTAAAAATATTTTGGATCTTTAAAATACCTTCCATTTGATATGCATATTATGATGATTTAATTAACTTGTAACTAATTTCGAATAGGTGGCAACCTTATACGAGTCTTCCCGTAGATAGTGCCTATTCAGCAAAGCAATAGCAAAGGCTCCAAAATCAAGGAGTTATATGAAAAAATTGAACAAGTTTTTGTGAAAATGTAAAATTTCTTATTGGTGATCTCAGAAAGATTTTGAGTTTTGATCTGATTTAAAATTTTTATATATTTTTCTAATAAAAGGTATATCTAGCTTTAGGGGTGAGGGTCTCCCATCCCAGTGTGCGCTAGTGCAGTTTAATGCTAACGAAATAAGCGATTCCAGCACTTCGGTGGCCAACAATTGAATGCATCAATATCAAACGGCAATGAAGCGCAACGATTGAAAATGATAATCCAGCACAACAACGTCAGCAGTACAGCAGAGGTGAATGGTGAAGAAACGCTGGTTGCTTGCTGCCTTGGTGGCTGTTGAACTGCTCAAGTGGATAAGCTGCAATGCGCGAGATGCACGATAAGCGAACAAGACAATAAAAAAAAGAAAGATAAACACAAACAGAAGGTGTGTGATGAGCAAGTGAAGAAGAGATGGAGGCTAGTGGCGTAAGACGCGCGGACTTGAGGTCTGCTCTGCATCATATCAAAAATTGGTACGCGTTCGAGCAACTTCAAACAGCAGCAAATCAAGCGCTGGTGGATGCACGATTTTTGGCAGCAACCAAACAAAGCGTTGAAAGATCGAAGTGTTTGTAATCTTGTAGCAGTTGAAATGCTGGCAAAAACGCACCACACTTTTTGCGTCTGTTTTTTTTTTTTGTTTTTTTGGTTCACTGCCTTTAATGCCCTTTTAAGACAGGCAAAAATTAAGTGCCAAAATGTTCGCCGCACTGCAAGCAAGTGCTAACATAAAAAATATTTCAAGCTAATTTGCTTTCCAACTCAGCTGGCAGCGCGCTTGGTGCCTTGGTGACCCCCATTAATAGCAAATCAAGGCAAGAAAATTTAATGCTTTTCGCATTTTTAGCATTTTCGCAAATTTTTCACATTCTTGCGGGCAGCCTTTTTTTTTAACGACTGACCGACCACATTTGCGCGAGCAAAACGTGCACGCTGCTAATAAGTTCCATTAAAAAATAAATATAAATTTCTTAATGTGCTTAGCCAGCTTATTTTTCATTTTCATAAATTCAGTTAGGGTTTAATTTTTGCACGCTGCCTTTTAGCAGCTTATCTGCAACTTAAATCATAATTTGCAAGGAAGTAGTAGAAGTATCTGCGAGAAGCGTGGCAAAGTTTGCATTTAATGGAACTGTAAAAAATCCACTAGTTAGCTTTGTGTGTGTGTGTGTGTGAGTGGAAGGCGCATTATAATTTTGCGGTCGATTGCGCGCCGCAGCATTTAGCATTGCATACTTTGGTGCGCTGGAACTGGGGTTTTCCTTCTTGGGGTTGACTTTTCCTTTCTGCTGGTCGTGCATTTTATTGCAAGGCAAGCTGCCTTATTCTGCAAATACGTGTATGGTTTTTAATTGGCTGTCGAGCATTAAATTGAAAAAGTTTGTGAAAAGCGAAGAAAGTGCCTTGGTGTGGGGGTTAGCCACACGAAAAAGCCTAGGAACTTTCATTCGACCTAAAAGAGCTTTCGATGTAGTTATTTACTTAATTATAAAGTTTGTAGTCTGCATAGTTTTTATTCTGAGACTTAAAGGATCCAGAGTAAGATTTTCCCCAAGTATTGCAAAAATATTAAAAAAAAGCAGCACACATCATATAAAGAAAAAGGAAGCATAAGATCCAACGGAATTTTGAGTTCTCTCATTAGTACAGAAATTGAGTTTAAGCTTTCTTTTCATTAGAGCCATCTCCAAAGCTACGAAGACTAAATGGTGTGCAACGGTTGGACAGCCAAGTCATAAGAATGCAGTCCTTAAGTCCCAAGATGCCTATGCTACATGATAGTACAATCGATAGTAACCCATGGGGTGGTAGCTTAGGTCTATGGAACTACTCTTTCCACGATGTGCAATCAATCACCGAGCTACACGGACTGGCATGCGTATGCATAACAAGGGCAATAAGCACATGTCAAACGACAGCGCTGGAAGTTATTCTAGAACTTATGCCTTTTCACCTACCCATAGAGCAGGCTGCAAAATGAACTCAACTAAGCTTTGCTTAGAAAGGCAATTGGTAGAAGAAAACTCGTATCATCAAAGAATATAGAAGGTGCTAGGGTCTTAGCTTACGCTAGCACATAGGAGCGGGTATCTGTGGACGCAGAACCAGGACTTTGGTTTCAATGAGGAAATACTCGATCATATCTCAAGCGAGGATGTAAGCCATCAGTACTAAATTTACATAGGAATTAACGCGATGAGAGGATCTTAATTCTTATGCAATCAGATGAAGGTCCAAAGGTTCAGTGCATTGATAAACTTAACTCTCTTGGTAGACACAATGGAGGTTACATATAGTCTGTTCCAATAGCAGTCCGGTTTACAGAATTTAGTCCGAACTTACAGGAAGTCGTTCCTATTGATAAAACATGTATGTGGGAACACTGCAAAATCTTTTTCTACAATGCACTAAAGGCCGCCTAATCAAATGTTGTAATTTTCCAAGCTTTTGCATTATATATGAGTATTAGGACGCGCAATCTCTCTATAGGTTGAAGAGGTATTGGATAAGCCTTCTGATTCATGTGTACGGATAATTAGGCTTCTAAGTGAACGTTTGTCGTAGTTATACCAGATAGGTAACTAGTAATTGGAGTCAGGTCTCGGATCGTCCAGAATATTTATAGATGGATCTAAATTACAGCTTGGCTCAGATGTATTGATATTCGTTAAGCAGGACAATGCCGAACTCTTCTGATCCCTAGTGAAGTGCGTTATTATTTCTCAAGTGGGAGTGTTTGCCGTACTTAGTGCCGTTTGCTAGACTGCCTGTGAAAGATAACCGGTGCTTAGACTGGCTATAAAATTTGCCGCTCACATGCTTACAATCGATTGAAAGCCGATAAAGGAGACCGGCCGTCAATTTTCAGCTCTTTTGTAT